TTAACTAAGCAAAGAGTAGCCCTTTTCCTAGTTCTTCTTGAGCTAGTGATAGATAAATAGCTTGTATTATTTCCCTGTGAAGACCCCAGGCAGTAACTTCACCCTGTTCTGGCCACTCACCTCTATGTACATGTTTCCATGAAGCTCGGATATTGCTGCTCGGGGCAACCCACTCCGCAGGTGCAGCCCATCACAGTTTTGAGACACCACATGCTGCACCTTGAGGAGAACAACACACTGAGCCAGTCACCACACACACACAGCACTGACTGTGTTACTCAAATGAGGTGTCTCAACACACACCAAATCACCCGGTGCAGGACGGATGGGAAATAAGGCAGCCTGGAGAACAGAGCTTTGTGAGAGCTCCTCCTGCCAGACAGCAGTATCAGTGAGCTGCCAGTGGTGCTGACGCTGTGGCCAGCCCAGCTTCACAAGATGCAAGCACACAGTGTGAAAGACAAGGCACAAGGGGAAAAGCTGCCAGGGCTACAGCTTGGAGCAAGCCCGAGGGACACTCAGCTGTATGTGAGCATGTGTGATCTATACACGTGGACGTGTAGCCACCTGAGTGAAAACGGGAGTTAGGCAGCCTCATGAAAAGCTTTTTTTCCCCTGGTGGGCTTTATTTACCATACACAGAGGAACAAAAGTGAGGCGCAACAAAAGCATCTTACCAGGTTGTGCTTGTGCAGGCAGGCGATGCTCATGTGGGTGAGCGTGGGCTCTGCCTCACTCAGATCTGTGGCCCTGACAAGGAGCAAGGAAAAAAATAAAGTTGAATTGCCATTAACGTCTCCTTCAGCCTCAGCTTTCTGCCACACAGCTCGGAATTTGTCTTTTTACCTGATGCTCCTGCCTTTCTGCAGCAACGTCCATATGCCATTAGGGCCTCTGTAGTCTGGGATCGAAGCTGCCTGTGTCATCAGGGGAGAAAAAATGAGGCCTGGCAGCAGGTTCACACCCTTGTCCTCACACACATCAACCCGGTCGCACCCAGGACCTCCAGACACTCCTCACTGACAGGGGCTTTTTAATTCACTCCAAGGTTTCTAGAGCAGTGGTTCCCTAATTGCAGTAAAACCTTCATTTCATGTTCTTTCTTTCTTCAGCATCTCTTCTACCTTACAGCTCCCATTTTCACTCCCAGTATTTATTTTCTCCAATTTTACCATTATGGAGTCCCTCCAGAACTCCTTCTGATCCTTGGTATTGCCATTCCTTACACAGAACTTAATTTTTGAATCTTTCCTTACTTTCATTAGACTGATTTCTGGCAGCTCACACTCAGCAAAAAATACTCATAACATTATACACCCTGCCCAGAATCGTGCCCCGTATCAGCACAGACTGTAGAAAAGGGACAGAAAGTAGGGTTCCCATCTCAGGTATCAGTAAAGGTGACACATCACGTTAGGAGAGGAAGAGCCACTTCTTTCCCAGATTTCCACTTTCCCAGAGGCCATCACAGCATTTCTTGAGTGTCATTGCTAAGTTCCAGTAACACCAGCTGCTCCTGCTTGTCCATTAGCACAATGTTAATGAGTCAATTTGGTTTTAGGTTTTACACCAAAAGCAGTCAAAGACACTCAAGAATGGAGGCAGACTGGTGATCTTCCCATTTAAGCAGCACATTCCTCACATGCTCACAGAGGTGATGCAGCCTCAGAATCGCCTGGGCAGGAGGCATTAGCCCAGGATGCAAACTAACCACTGCCCTTGTCATGGTGTGTGTGCTCCCACCGCATCCCAGGCTCCAAACATGCACCATGCAGTCAGTCAGAAACCACAAAAATAGCCCAAACAACACTGCAACAGCCCTGCAGGAGCTCCCACAGCTCCAGCCACTCACCCCAAAAAAACCTACCGTACTGATCCCGGCTCCCGTGTAGATGACGAGGTGCTTGGCACTGCAGATGGCAGCAGCCAGCTCAGTGGCCTTTCTCCTTAACTCCTCTGGTTCGTCACATACCTGGAAAACACAACTGAGCAAGTTCACGTGTTTCTGAGATACGGTGAACTGTGGGGAGCAGAGCACTCTGCACGCTTGACAAGGGCCATCACCGTTACCAGAACTGACTTCCGAAGAAAAACAACCACAGAATCCCAAAACCTCAGGTTGGAAGTGACTTTATGGATCATCTGGGCCGACCTTCCCAGGCAAAGCATGACCTAGGCTAGCTGCCCCAGCACCCTGTCCAGCCAGATCTTAAGTGTCCAGTGCTGGGGAATCCACCACTTCCCTGTGGAGATCATACTAATGGCTGGCGGTTCTCCTTTCCTCCCGTGCCCAGCCAGGATCTCCCCAGGAATAACCTGTGCCCATCACCCCCCGTCTTTTCCATGCTGAAAAGAACACGTTCCTGCCCAAGGGGGTCCCGGATCGCAGCACACGCGGATCCATCTCCCGGTCCCGAGGCACGCGCCCGCACGGCTCTGGCAGCCCCGAAAGGGAGGGAACCGCGAGCGGAGCAGCGACGTTCCCGGTACCGCGGCTCCTCCCGCCGCAGCTCCAGCGCCCCCGCGCCGGCCCCGCCGCGCACCTCCTCCTGCCGCCGGCGCAGCCGCTCTCGCCGCTTGCGGCGCCGCTCCAGCTCCCGGACGATGTCGTCGCTCTCGCCCAGCACTTGGCACTCCTCGGGGCTCCGCTCCGCCGGCGGCTTCCTCCAGATGCGGGACACCTGCGCGGCACGGGAGGTCAGGGCGGCCGCGGGGCGGGGGCGGCCGGCGCCGGGCAGGGCCGTACCTGTCTCCGCCGGTCCCGCTGCTCCTCCTGCTGCAGGAGCTCGGCGCGCGCCGCCGCCTTCCGCTCCGCGCGGCTCGCGCTGCCGCCGGCCGCCATCCCCCCCCCCCCCCCGGAAGCGCCGCGCTTCCGCCGCCGCCCGCGGGGCCGCTTCCGCCCGCCCTCGGCCCCGCCCCCCTCGAGCGCGGCGGCGCCCCCCAGCGGCGCGGCGGACCGCGCCCTAAGGAAGCGCGAGGCGGCGGCTGTTTGGAAGCGGTTTATTGTCACGTACAAAAGGGCGGCGGCGGCCGGGCTCTATGTACAGCAATAAATACCGGCATAACTTACCAATAAATACCGCCCGCTCCGCCGGGCAGCGGCGCCCGTACACAAGTCACCACACGATACACAATCGCCGGGGGCCCGCGGCACCGCACCCCCCCCCCCCCCGGGCCCCGGGGCGGGAGAAAGAAAACACGACACCGTCACAGCAGGGAACCAAAGGGACGAGCAGCTCGGGACAAGAACCGCCACGCCGGAACACTGTACACGAGAGGCCGCGGGACGGCCCCGGCACCGCCTGCAGAGACACCCCGGGGTCCAGCACGTCTCCCCCGAGGAGCACAGCGGAGGCGCCCGCGGGGAACCCGCGTGCCCCCCGCACCCACAGAGCGGCACCCCCGCACCGGCCCCTCCAGCCACGGCTTCGCACCCGCTCCCCAGAGCGCAGCGCTAACAGGGGGCGGAGCGGGGAGCGCTGCCGCCGGCTCTGCCCTCCTGGCTCTGGTTCTCGCTCCAGAGCGGCACAGTCTCACCAGCAGCAGTGCAGGACCAGGCCTCCAGCTGGGTTCAGAGCTCAGCTCTGGACAGGTCTGACCTCAGGCTGCCACCAGGAGGGACAGGGCTGGGGCTGACACCGCAAGCAACTGGAGGTCATCGCGTTTTGGAAGGTCTCACCTCTTCCAGGCACATCACCAGCTGGAAGACAAAGGTTAGAGCCCAGAGCTCCAAGTGCTGCTCAGCGTGTAGCCCAGTCGACAGCTGGGAAGTGGCATGCTTCAGCTCCGAGAAGCAGCCCAGGGCTGGGAGAGGGAAGCCTGGAGGCAATGTTCTAACCTGCTCCCTGTTCAGAAAGTTCTGGGACTGGGAAAACCTCTCAAAACAGCTCCTCCCTAAACTCCCAATCAGTCAGAGCAAAGCTGATCTTCTCCAGCAGGAAATGCCCACCAACTATCTGCTCCTCTCCTGCCACATTGCAGCTTCCATCAGTTTACCTGCTTCTCAGCCCTGAGGACAACAGTACCAGATCAGCTACGCGAAAAATGCATCAAACCCACCAAATACAGTAAACTGCCTCCCACAAGGCTGCAGCGTCACTTGTGCCATCCTGGCCTGTCCCCTCCACTCAGGAGACTCTAGGCAGCCAGGAGCTCACATGGACTTCACCCCCATGTCTTGCTTCTCTGCAACTACTCAGTAATCAGCTCAAAGCTTTGGGGAGGGCAGGGGGGATAAAGTATTTGAGGAAATGGAGCCTGGCCACAAACAGCTCCTCAGCTGTGTCGCGCAGCTCTGAGTGCTCCTCCAACACTCACAAGCAAGAGCTGTACCAGGCTGGGCAGTAACCAGGCCACAGCTCCATTTCCAGCACTACAGACACTCAGAACCGGCACTGTCCCCTGTCAGATAAGCCCCAAGAGCGACACAAGCTCTGACCGAAGGATCCAATTCCACAGTTAAATCCCATGAGCCTCTTCCTAAACTTGGACAGTTCTCCCTTATGTTACTCCTCTGCCAGCTCTGCTGGAGAGAGGAGAGCACGGTTTCCCCATTCAGGTAACAGCGCTCCGGTGCCGGCTGCTCACACAGCACACCTCTGCAGGGACGTGTTTCTGGACAGGCATCACCAATAGCTACACCAGCCGTCCCTCAAGAACAGCAGCCCCTTTGCCAGTGTGCCAGAATCCTCCCGGAGAATGCAGAGATGCCAACTCCATCTCTCGGTTGAGCTTAGGGAAAACAACGGCAGCGAGAAAACGACAGTACACGGCGAAGGCAGCCACTGGCACCAGCACAGCACAGCGAGCTCAGAGAACAGAGAGCGCAACACGAGGGGACACGACGGAAGCCAACGAGGTCAAGAATAAGTCACTTTTGGTACAACTGCAAAAAGATATCAAACAGGACTTGCCTCTTTTTTTGTCTTTTTCTAAGTTTTATAAATAAAGTCTGATAACTCTTTATAAAAACTAACCTCAGAGCCACGGCGTGCGGGAGGTTCATGAGAAACTTTAAAATTATTTATTAACTTTTTACTAGCAAAGTCTCCGAGAATATTTCCCCATTCAGATGGTCAAATATTCTCACCCTCTCAGATAAAAAAGCTGACTATAAATACGCTCTCTTTTCTGTCTGATTTTAATTTTAAACTTAGATAATTTAATAACTCTTAAAATGATCTTTCTCTCTTTAAATAAAGGGCTATTTAACCACATAAACTGGTCGTGTAAACCATCACACTAGAGACACTTGATACCCTCAAAACACGGGAACAACTATTGAGTTTGGTCTTGTTCAGTGCAAGACATTAGGCACAAAACCGGCCTGCAGTCAACATGGTACCTTCCCTCCCTCCCTCCCTTGGGGTGCTCTGGCCCAGCGCTGGGGCAGAGGCAGGGGCACAGCAGCATCCTTCTGTCCACCACTGCTAGTTCACACAGCTAACGCCACGGACATCTGAGGGGAAACCCACTGTCAGGGCACAGAGGCACACCAAGAAAACAATACAAACCTATTACACAGAACACCCCAACGGCAACTACAGGTACCAAATGAGACAAAAGCAGCAGGTTCAGGTGCCTGGCAGTCAGGCACCGAGATGCACCACCAGGAAGAGTAATGAAATAAAACCTTTGGAAGTGACTGAAAACTAGGGTTCCCAGCCCTGGGAAGAAAGCCTCCCTCCAGACCTTCCCCAGCCCTCCCGTCGCCTGCCCTCAGCCACACTGCACAGACGTTCCTTGGCTACAAACCCAAGATCTCGCAGCTTGTCCCAAGGGCGCCCGAGGGCTGCAGATCACTGGGCGGGAGGCTCTGTCTGCACAGGACAAGGGACGCATCACCACTGCTCATACCAATCTGGACACAACAAAACAAAACTGGAGTGATCAGCAGGCCAGTCCTGCGCCAAGTAGAAGGAACCCGGACCCATCTGAGGAGGGTTTGTGCTTTGGGGGTTCCAGGCTGGTTTTGTGCCTAACTGCCCTGCACAGACAAGCTGAGGCAACTCTCGCTTCACTAAGACCGGGCGTCCGTTTTGGATTTCACTATCGTGATGACACTGGTAGTAGCGACCTTGCCAGGGATGAGGGGACCCATACTGGAGGTGAGAGGCCCCCGTGCAGGGGTCACAGGGCTCCGGGCCACGGTTCTGGCGAAGTTCTGGAGAGCCTCATATTTGGAGCGGAGAGCATCGAGTTCCATTTTCATGCTGGCGTTCTCTGATGCCAGCTTCTCCACTTCTTGCTGCAGCTCTGCCTTCTGCTTCTCCAGTTCCTCCTTCTGGGTAACACGCTTGACTCTGCAGCTGGCCGCGTAGCCCCGGTTCTTCAGCGTGCGCCGGCGCTGCTTCAGCTGGATGATCTCCTCCTTCGACAGGCCCCGCAGATGCTGATTCAGCTCCCGCACAGACATGGTCACCAGCTCCTCATCTGTCAAGCTGGTCCCATTCTCACCTGGCTCCCGCTTCACCTGGAAGAGATGGCGGCACACACTTGTGAAACCTAGAGCAGATGCACCCACCACCTGCAGCCCTCTATCCACCTGCCTTACCTTCAAGGCCTTGTTTCCTTTGTTGGGGGTCGTCATAACACGACAGCCTTGTCAAGCAGGTGCTGGAAGGGAAGAAAGTCAGGTTAGCCCCCCGGGACACAGCGGAGTCTGTGGCAGGGCCGCCCCTGGCAATGCAGCACATCCCACACCGCTCCCCGGAACACCCTCAACAAGCGCCCGCCTGAGCCGGACTGAAAGCGGCAGGTTCTGTCCCTAAGCAGGAACCGCTGCCCTTCCAACCCCCTCCCACAGAGGCTTTGGGCAATGCCGGTTTCTCCCTTGGGGTGGGGGAAATTAAAACACGAGGAGGAGCCTGAGTACACGGAAGCCATGAGTATCTAAAAATAGCCTGGCAGCAGCGGCCGGGTCCGGGCTCGCTGCTCAGGGCCAGTCACGCTGACTCAGCGTCACTGGCACCGTGGCCTCCCGCTGCCAGCCGCAGCCCTGGTGCTCCGCTCGCCCTTCCAGCTCCAGAACCACCCCAGGACACGAGTCCCACCAGCCCATAGGTGCCCCCAGGGATGCAGCCAGTGCAGTTCAGCAAGGAGCACAACACAGCTCACTGGGCATCCTGCGGGAGAGGGGAACACCACTGCTGTGCTCACAGCTCTCCAAACGTCTTGTGCTCCCCAGGAAAGCCAGCACACCCAGGTTCCAGTCAAAGCTCTGCACCCAACCTTTCCCAAGGAACAGAACAACCTGACACTGCAGCACAAAGGAGCGCTTGGGCACACTGGAATCCCATCACAGTCTTGGGCCAGTGCGGCAGCAGCATTCCCCTTCTCCCACTCACACAAAACTGAGCCCAGCTGTTGATCTCTTCTGCGAGAGAGTCCCTGTTGGTCCCAGAACCACCTTCTCCTTCCATTAGCTTCAGAGCCAAGGTACGCTCATAAGGAAGCAAGGGCAACCAAAAAAAGAGAACAGACTCCTTCACTGCCCCAGGACTTCAGAGTCAGTGACAGCAAACCCCCCAGGCCTGTTCCCACAGTAACTCCAAACAGGCTCCCGTTTCTGTCCCTGCATACCTGCTCCCCTCAGGCTGTAGTTCAGAGGGCTACTGCACTGCCCAATGAATGAATCCCTCAGACATTGCTCAACCAACATGGCTGTGCCTCGGGCAGCCAGAACCGCACAGCTCCTTGGGAGGCAAGCACAGCCTACAAACACTTCTGTCCCTTTTGTCTCTTCAGTGCCCAACAGTCAACAACAATTTAGTTTGCCACCGCTCTGCTAAGTGTAGGAGGCACTGATACACGGTTATAGCCAAAACAACAGATGCACAAGTCAGCAAATATGGATTTGTGCTCTTCCAGCAGCTGTGACACAGACTCCCGCAGTGCATCTACCACCTATTAGAGGTGAATGGGGTCAGCATTCCCCAGGGCACCGGCAGAGCTGTTCCCAAAGCCTCCAGCCTTCCTGGAGGCAGGCTATTTATACCCAGAGGACAACGCTCCTCGATATGAGATGTATGCTAGAACCTGGCAGTGCTGGCACAGGAAGGGTCACTTTGCCGCCCAGAGGAGGTAGCTGCAGAGAGGCAGCTAACACAGGGCAGACGGCACACAGCCAGCTGCTTTGTAGACCTGATTCTTCGCTCTTTCCCATTCTGTGGCATTTCCTCTGCTCCTACGGGGCAAATGACACCGCTGCTGGGAAAAGGGGCGAAGGCAGGGAATACCTGGGAGACCAACAATGCCATCCCTGCAGCACCTCTGGCGCGCACAGGAAGCCAGGGCAGGCAGGGGCAGGGGACCTGCCCTGGGGCACTAAGGAATTTCCAGGCGCTTGGCACGCGCTCAACGACCTTCACTACAGCAAAGCTGAAATAAAACAAACAAGGAGACAAAGGCGCTGCACCGGGCAGGGCAGTCCGGCAGCTCGCAGACGGGACACCCGAGAGCTGGCAGCAAGACGAGAGCGCAGACTTGGCCTGGCTCTTCGGAGTGCGGCCGGGTGAGCTCCTGAGGGCTTCCCAGAGAGAGCCGCGGGAAGGCGCCGAAGGAAACGCAGCCTCAACGCGCTCCCGCAGGCTCAGCCGACGCGCCGCCACCGCCGCCGGGCGCCGCTCGGACCCGCCCGCACCGCGCATGAGCCAGCGCCGTTCCCCACATTCCCGGCGTCAGCGCCCCGCCACGAGCCCCGTGTAAACACGCTGACGTCACCCGCTCCGCCGCACGGCGCTGGCGGGAGGGAGGCCCCGCCGCGGGGACCCGGGCAGGGGCGCGCCCCGAGCGGCCCCGCAGCGCGGTGTGCCCGGGGCTGCCTCGCCGCGGCTCTCCCGGTGCGTTTCCGGCTCCGTTTACGCACCGGAGCTCCCGCAGCTCCCCCGGTAACCCAGGCGCGTTGGGTGACTCCCCCAGTTACACACAAAGCCAGGGCTGGGCCTGCCCCGTGCACCCCCCCCCCCCCCCCCCAGGAGTCTCTGGTGAGCTCACATCCGACCCAGGCCATTTGGACAGCCAATCTTCCATAAAGGAATCTGCCCACCCAGCCGGATTTAGCCACTTACACAGATAAAGGGAAGAGCTGGCTCCCGGAGAGCCCTTCCAGCCTTTGGCAGTGCCTTCCTCTAACCTCACAGCTCAAACATCACATACCGTGGTCAGAAACATCCCCAGCTCTGGAGAGCAAGACCCCCAGGGCACACTGACGCTCTGTGTCAGTCTGGCGCCACAGCCTGTTCCGCAGTCCCACCAAAGGGGCTTTGCTTCCCACCACACAGGGGATCTGCTCAGCTCCAAGGAGGCTGTACCGAGCAGACCCACAGCCCCAGCCCGTTCCCTGCACCCACCGTAGCCTCTGGCAGGGCACGAGGCACAGGCCCCTCCAGGATGCAGGCCAGAACCTCGGAACCGCATCACCTCAGCCACCAGCCCTCTCCCAGGCGGCATCAGCTACACCGTGATGGGTGCTGGAGTGATGGAGCATGTCCTGTGACCAAGCCCCTGCGCAGGGAAAGGAGCTCGACACCTCCGTGACTCGCCCCCCTCTCCAGACCCTCCTTTGCCTGCCCACCTCCCAGAGGCGCACCCAACGAGAGGGAAGCCAGCGGCGCGGCCGGCGAAGGAAGCCGGTCACTGAGGAAGCCCCGCCCGGGACCCGCCGAGAGCCGCCGCCCGGAGTGGGGGAGCTGAGAGGCCGGAGGAGCAGCGGGCGCGGGAGAGGCGGGCCCGGGCCGCCGGGCCGCAGAGTGCACGGGACCGGGAAGGGCGGGGCGGGACGCGCCCGAGGTGCTCGCTGTCGGCCCCACGCACCTGTTGCTCGGCCGCGGGGCGGGGAACCGGGCGGGGCAGCAGACAGGGGCGGGCAGCGCCGGGCGGTCACGGCCCCGGAACCCCGCCGTGAGTCAGCGGCCACGGCCCCGCGGTACACTCGCCAACCGGCGGCGGCCCGGCCGCCATCCCGGGCCCGCCGCGCCCGCCCCGCCCCGGCCCGCCCCCGGAGACCGGCCCGCCCCCCCCACCCGGTGCGAGGGCCGCGCCCGCCGCCCGAGCCGCGCCCTCCGGTCTCACCTCCTCACGGGGCCGCCGGGGCCGGGCCGGGCGGGGAGGCCGCGCTGGGGGGGACCGGGACGCCGCGAGCCGCCGCCGCTGCCGCCGCTCACGGACGCGTCACGTGATATTTGGGTCACGTGGCTCCATTCATGAAGCGCCCGACGCAACCGCCCCGGGCCTTAAGGGGGCCGCGCCTTAAAGGGGCGGCGGCGGCGGTGACCGGCGGTGCCTCATGGCCTGACCGGTGCCGGCTCCCCCCGCCAAGGCCCCGGTGGGCCTCCCGGCCTCTCTGGTGCAGCCTCCGGCCTTCCGCGGCGAAACCGGCTCCTCGGCTGCACCCGCAGCATCCTGGAGCTGCTGAACCTGCCGGAGCAGCAGGCGGGCCCCAGCGGAGGCACTGACCAAGCAGCGTGCTTTGCAGCAGCCCCCCTGCTCCGGGCCAAGCGCCAACACCGGGGCTGGCTCCTACTCCCCGGGGTCAGGACCCGCTGCTCAGGGTGGTCCCAGCTCTGCTCCCGTCACGGTGGGTCCATAACGCAGGAATACTGCTGCCAGCTGAACTAACTGCTGTGCTAGAACAAAGCAGCGCTGGCAAGATGAGTGCAGCAGTGAAGGGCAAGTGGAACATCAGCAATGAAACTGGGAGTTAAGGCCACATCAATAGGCCCGGCCCTGGTCATTCAGAGCGGCACCGCTGTTCCCTGCTGTGCTCGGGACTTGTGAGCTCGAGCCCTGAGGGCTCCTTCCTGGACCTTGACAGGCTGGTGTCCCCTGCTGCTGACCAGCTCAGTCGTGGCTCTACAGCATCTAGGAAGCTCATCTATAGCTCTGCCTCACTGGGGGTACACAAGGGCAGCCCAGAAGCCTCTCTGCAGAGGGGTGGCCATCCCACCTTTTATTCTGCATCACACTTTATCAGATCAGCCAAATGGAATCCTTCTTCATTATTCCTCTTCATTTTCAGCTCCTGAGATGGGAATGGAGGAACATGCAGCACTCACTTGCCTCCATGGAATCTTTGTGCAGTGGCACCTCTAGAAAGCCTCAGCGGCTGGGATACTCAGCCCTTCCTCCTTCCCTTCTCTTGAATCCCTGAAAACTGTGAGCACAGGGCCCCAGAGCAGCTGTTGGGCTGTTACTCGGGAAGCACTGGTGACGAGCAGTGGGCTGATGTGCTCCCCTGCCCGCCCCCGGACAAACCATCTGCAGTCAGGTTGCCAGCACACCTTGAGCACACTCCCTCAGGCAGCAAGGACCCAGTGGGCACTGCCAGAGGCAAGAGATACACCCAGTCCAAACAGCTGGGGTTAGCCAGAGCTCTGTTGGAGCAGCAGTTTATTATGTTTAGAGGGAAGAGGAGCAACCATCTGTCATGCCTACAGGGTCAAACTCTTGCTACCAGCTCAGAGCCTAGCACTAAAACTGCTTTAGCATTACCAGCACCTTTGGCAGCCTCTGCATCCATACCAAAATGCTTTTCCTGAATCACCTGCATGAAGAAGTTTCAGCAACCAAGCGAAAAGGGAGCCCTCACTACCCCTTCCCTGCCCAACCGCCCAAGCAATGCTAGTAGCAAAGTAGGGACAGTGAGAGCAGCTCACGGTTCCCCACACCAGGACAGAGAGAAGGAGCAGTGCCAGAGAGAAAGAGTGTGTCCAGAGGTTCACACCATCTGTCTCAAAGTCAAGGCAGATGGAAGATGGGGCAGAGGCACTTTGGTCCCTTCCGAGAGGCGCTTTAGTGTGCAGCCTCCAACATAGTGCACAGCACTGCATCTTCATGGCAGCATCTGCTCTAGCTAATAAAGACAGTAAGAAGACACAGGCTCGGATAGCAGATGCAAGATAGGGTCTTGGAAACAAAAAGACATTCTGAAACCTCTTTAAAAATCCAATTAGAAGCCATCTCTGCATGGGACAACTCGAACACTGCCCGAGAAGTACCCAAGGCTTCTGAACAAACGATGCTCTTGATGAAGCTCTGAAGATGGCATCACCCCTGCCCAAGAGAGATCAGCAATGCCAGGGACAGTTTGCACCAACCCCACTACAAGTTAAAGACCCTCTTCTACAGCACTGCACCGTCCCACAGCTGCCAAGAGCCAGGCATGGCGGACACCAGCATTCAGAGCGAGCGTTCCCCTTAGACAAAAAGAAAGGGCACAGAGGAGACTGATATTCAGCACAGCCAGACTACAGCAGCCTGTTCAGTTCTTCTTGCTGCCGGGGTGCTTATTGTTGAACAGACTGACTTTGCTGGCAGATGCCAGTGACACAGAAGGAGACTCCAGCTTCACCTTATCCAGCAAAGTCTTCTTTATGGCTGCTGGGGAGATCTTCTCTTGGTCTGCCAAATGCTGCAGCTCCCTGCAATGGGGTGGTGGGAGAGTTAAGACATAGCAAGAGGAAGAGATGGGGAGCGTGCAGGGCAAGGCCCTCTGTAGGAGGCCCTGTAGGACCTCCCTGGTGCTGACCTTGTCCGGATGCAGGAAGCCTCCACAGCATTGATTAGGAGTGAGCGGAAGCCACCGCTCTCCAGGAAGTGCAGGGCATGGATGGTGGCTCCCCCGGGGGAGCAGACGTTGTCCTTTAGCTGCCCGGGATGCTGCTCAGATTCCAACAGCATCTTGGCAGCACCCTGAGGCAAGGAAGAGAAAACGGCTGCCAGAGCTGACCGAGAAACCCACCATCAAACACTCCTGCTCACCACTGTGGAGAGCAGCACCCAGCACTCACAGGGGCAAACGGAGCTCCCCTGACAGCCATTAGCAGGCTGCCAAAACACTTTTCAGAGCTGAAAAGCCTGCAGACAAGTCAGGGTTCCCCAAGCCCCAGCTCCCACAATACCACACACCAGCAGGGTGCTGCAGACCCTTCCTATGTCCCCTCACCGGGAACCTGTGTGCAGGCAAACCAAATCTGGGGCTCACAGTACATTTGGTAAGAGGACTGAAACCACTTCAAACCCATGATGCGCACAATGCTCTGCACAGAATCAAACATGTTCTGGAGAGGGAATACTGACCAGCAAAGCCTGTGCTCCAAGCCGAACAGCCAGCCTGCGAGGAAGACCCATTTTCACTCCCCCATCTGCCAGAGCATCCAGGGCAGTGAACGCCTGAGACCAGACAGAGGAAGAAGGTGAGTGAACGTCTCCACTTCAAGAGCGTCTCAGGGAGGAGAGAATCCAGGGCTCCAGGATCACACTAGGTCTGCTGTCGCTTACAGACTTCACTGTCTTCACTGCCTCCCCTTCACTGGCTGCCATGCCAAGCCTCCCTCCCGCTGCTTCCCACTCTGGAGCGGGTGGAATGGGAGACATTCAGCTCCTGTGTCATACTAACTGCAGGTCCATGTTTTGCAACATGGACACTGCACACTGGCTGTGGACTTCAGACTTATCCAACTGGTAACAGACTTCTGTTGTTGACCCGAGCTGGTTATAAACTGGACACCTGGATTACGTCTCATCGCTAACATGAGCAATGAGGAAAACAAGGAATGACAAACTGAAGCTGCATGGACCTTCCCTGCATGCAAAGCCCACTGCTATGCCCAGGCCTACCCCAAGTTGAGGAAGGAGCACATACATAAGCAGGGCCACTGCCACTGAGCCCTGTTACAGCATCAATCAGGTCCTCTTCCACCTCGGTGCAGAAGCCTACGCTGGCCATCAGCTGTTCCAAGAGCTTCCCATCCTCCACATCTGCGTGAGTCCCAGTGGCATAGACTGTAGCGCCTTCCCGGACAATGACAGGGGTGTTGGTCATGCACCTGATCACTTTTGGTGTGGGGCAGAAGGTAGAGAGTTTCTTAGGACAGAAAATCATTAGAGACAGAAAGAAAGAAGGAAAGAAAAGAAAGGAGAAAAATGAGGTTCAGTGCATATTTGGCATACCAAAGAAGCTATCTAGGGAGGGACTCTCCCCTGGCAAGAACACCACAAGCAAAGAGAAAAGAGACACTCCTGTATCCCAAATCCCCTGCTTTAAGCCACAGCCATGACCCACCTCTGCTGAGGGAAAGACCTGATATACCTCGTGTGACAGAGGAGCTGGCACAAAGCTCCTACAGCTTCTTCTGGTGGGGACCCAAAACAATCACCTGGCTGCAGCACCAGTTTAGCCCTGGGAAGCACGAGCATCTCCCGTCCTTCGCACACACTCCTGGGGGCCGGAGGAGCGGGACCAGTGCAAGGTCAGTTCCTGAGCACTGGGTGTCTGCTGTGGCTCCTGTCGGGGTACCCCGGCCCTCCCCATGCCCGCTCACCTTCTCGATGGAGCTGATGGTGACCCCGGCCGCGCAGGAGACCACGATGTGATGCGCCTCGATATCGGGGCCCACTTCCTCCAGGATGAAGGGGATGATGGGGGGCTTCACGGCCAGGAAGAGGACATCGCTGTTCTTCACCGTGTCCTTGTTGCTCACCGTGAAGTTCACGCCCATTTTCTGCAGCAGTTCGGGAGAAACGGGGCCGCTGTCACCGGGGGCCCCTCCGGAGAAGGCACACACAGCGCCCGCCGCCGGGCCCCACTCACCCGCAGCCCGCTCACGGTGGGCAGGTCCGTGTCCGGGGAGCTCGCCGTGATCTTGTGCGCGGCCAGGACCCCTGCGAACGGCACCGCGTCAGCCCCAGCGCCGTGCGCGCTCCCGGCCCTCCCCGCCCCGCCCCGCGCGCACCTGCTGCCGTGAAGCCCCTGGCCAGGGCGAGCGCGAGCTGTCCCGCGCCGATGAAGCCGACGCTCATGGCAGCGCTGCAGGAGCCGGGCCCCGCCGCCGCACACGTGGCCGCGCGCCGCGCAGGCCGGGAGGCTGATGGGCGGGGCCTGGAGACGAAGCGAATCGGCGGGCGGCGGGGCGGGGCCGCGCCACCCCTCCGCCACTCACGGGCGAGGGGCGGGACCTCCGGCGCGGCCCTCGCCAGCAATTGGCGCAACCGGCGCGGGGTGTTGCATCATTCAACGCCTACGGGGGCCGCGCGGGGCCCTCCGCCCAGCCGCGCCGTCAGGGGGCGCTGTCCGCCCGCAGCAGCCGCCGGCCGGTGGTGCCCGCCCTTCTGGAAGCTTCGGGCGCCGCCGCTGGCCCCGGGCCGCCGCCGGGAGGGCCGTGCCGGGGGCGTCCCAGCAGGGCGGTGCCGCGGGCGGCGGGGGCCGCCTCCCTCCGCCTCCGGCGTGGCGCCAGCGCGGGGCGGGCCCGGCCCCTCCCCAGCCGCCGCCCCGGACATTCCTGGGATGCTCCGGCCCCACGCGGTGGGCGCGGCCTCTCCCGTTCCTCACCGGGCCAGGCAGGTGTACGGGCTGCTCTAGGTGTCCCGCCTGCGCGGCCGCCCGGTGCGGGTGCCCGGCGGGTGCTCCCCGACTCCCCGGTAAAGCGGCCCTGGAGCGCTGCCGCAGTTCCTGCTCTGCAGAATCGGTCCCGCTGCCCGCGGATGTTCCGTGGGAAGCGGTTTCCCGGTGACCGGGCTCACGCACCGCGGCAGTGCTGCGCCCGCTCTCAGGGCCCGGCTGAGGGGACCCGGTAGTCTCAGCACAGCCTCTGCCAGAGCCGGGCACCCGGCAGCGCTGCTTCGGCTGGGGCTTTGCTCTTCTTTAGCTTTGTTGCTCCTTTATTGACAGAACAAAATCTCGGCGCAGCTCCTGTGGATGAGCGTCCCTGGACGCGGTGTTCTGGGGACACTGAGTCCCAGTCCACATGAAAACAAGGGGAAAAGAACCAACCCACCAACCCAGAACCCAGGAAAGAGTCAGGTTTATGTTATATAATCTCTGTTTCAGGTTGCGATGCTCTAGGACTCATCTAGATCGGATGCAGACCCAAGTCCGTAATCCCAAATGAGTGCACGTACATCTGACATTAGCTTAGAAACCAGGCGAGGGGATGGGTGTCTGTAGAGCCCCTTGTGTGGCCGCTTACCTGGTCAGCAGTTGTTAAAGGGGAAGAGAAGCTCTGAAAATAAAGGGTTTTTAAATTAACTGAATCGCGACAAAGTTGATTGTGAAAATCACATTAAGCAGATAGTGGCTGTGTCTGTCCTGGGTTGGGTAATCTCATAGTTTCCAATGGTTAGTGAGTGTTTTAACCACTGGAGCATGAGGTTTTGATTTTTTTTGGTAGTTTTTTTCTCCTAAGAGAGTGGATTGCTGTCCACACAATTATTTTTTTTTGCCATTTTGACCATGCTAACATTTTTTGCTCAGCCTTTGGCTGGCAGATGAGAAAGCTAAATCTGAACACACTGTTCTTGGCAATGACTTGTCTTTCCACTCCTCCAGTCAGTGGTATCATGATTTCCATGTTAAATTCTATTTCCTCCTTACTGTGAAGACAGTGAATTTTACCCCCACCATTCCCCACTTCCCTGTTTCTCTTGGACCTTTACATCCTCAGCACTGTGGAATTTGCATCAACCTGTGTCAGTAGTAGATTCTGCCATATTCCTGCTGGTCCTTCCTACTTGGTGCAGAATCTTCACAACAAAAAGCAAGTGAATCCACAGCTGGAAAAGATGTTGCTGGCTGAGGAGCTCCATGCAGGCTCTGCTGCCCCAAGGACTGGCAGTGCCGCAGGAGCCGCAATCACCTGCCTGCTTCCAAGCACTCTGTAGTAATAACAAATAAGTGGTTTCAAGCGACTACATGGTAACTGCTCCAGGCTCCTGGCGCAGGCAGTGGCTCTTTGTGCACTGCCTCCTCCTGTACAGATGGATTCATTTTCCCAAGCGATCATTTCCTAATTGTACAACCCCCCATTTGCTTTTGTGTATCTGTAGTACATAGTCTTGTGTCTTGCCCTAGAACAAGCTGGCTAGCCTCTTGTTGGACCATTATGTTCCAGACTTCCTGCCCTTAATGGGGATCACAGAAGAGAAAAACTCCCTTGGAAGGGCGTTCAGTGCGTTCCCTTCGTTCTAGATACTGATTCTTGACCCTTTTCAGGGGAATCGTAATTCCCACTGCTCCAGGCTGGTTATTACTGGGGGCAGAATTACCCAGCACAACCTGTCCAAGCAAATTTTTCCTTTGCTTGTCAAGCCCCATGCAGAGCACTGGTGCGAGGGAAGCTGCCTTCCTTCTTCCTGAGTGACTGCTACAGACAGCAGAGCCAGAGCCCTCGCCTGTCTTGTTTGGATACTCCTGGGGTTGCATTCAATCTCCATACAGCAAAATGAACTGAGCTGTGGTTTCAGCAGGGAGTAGAAGGGGCACTACTGATGGAAGAAAAGCTGTGTGAGAGCAGGATGACGCACACGGATCTCGGGAGGTGTGGTACCCATCTGCCATCCAGCTTTATTTTGGCTTGGTTAAGAACTAAGCCTTGCTCTGACACGCAGCTCCATGAGACTTGAACCAGGCCTGCGCAGGAACTGGGGCCACTCTGGTTCTCTCCGGGTCAGAAATGAAGTTCAAGGTCTGTGCTGTGCATTGTGGGGCTTAGAACAGTGTTCTGTCAGGGGTGGGTTGGAGAAACGCAGCTCATTGGTAACACGAGGAGCTGAGGAGCCCCAGCGCCCCATCAGCCCAGGAGCAACCCTGCTTGCTCCTGCTGTATCCAGGTTCTCTCCCTTCCCAGCCAGGCCCCCCCGGTTTGCTCTTCCTGCAGCACTGTGAGATCCATTCACCTCTCCCCCCCCACCCCCAGAATTCGCCTTTAAGCTTCCAGAAAAGAAATCGTGATTGTGCCATGGGGATAAAGGGACGGTGGCGGCTGAGCAGAGGGAGCACGCGCCAAGGTACCCCCAGTGCCACCCTCGGGCGGGGATGCAATGTACACATGGACACTGTGCAGCCTGGCTCTGTTCTGTGCCATTTCTTGGCAGCAGAGCCCGAATTTCACAAACATTCATCTCTCTAATGACTCAGTGTTTGCCAAATAGGAATATCCCACGTTTCCAACCCCCCCAAGGTGCATGCTTGAAGATATTCCTTTTCTGTGCTAAACAGCAGAGGAGAGCAGAGGAAAGGAAAGGACTGGCAATCTTCACAACACTATTACAGCTACGATGTTCTCAGAAACATCCTGACTGGAATTTCCCAAACTCGCAATCATTTCATGTCTCACCACACAGCCCAGGCTAACCCAAACTCTGAGGGATTGTTTTTCATGTCCAGAACTGGTGTTCCTTAGTGCAACTTTTAACTTTCCCACTTCCTGGACAGTCACTTGATTACGGCTAAGTGCTGGTAACAGTTTCAAAATCCTTGGTGCCTTTCCTAATATTTGGCTCTGGGATGCAGCAGCCTGCAGACCCGCTGCTGCTGCAGGAAGCAGTTCTGCTGCCTGGAGACAAAAGGCCGTTCCTTGCTGTGGCACCAGGTGCTGGGCAGACGCTGGGTGATGGGAATTGGGCTTTCCCCAGCCCACGCGTGACAGGTCATTCATTTGCTAGCCAGGTCAGTCCTGACCCCGAAGTTCAGTCGGTGGCTCCTGTGCCTGGGCCTGATCAGCGCCTCCTCCTGCACCCCACCTCCTGCCCACCCCCGGCTGCTGCTGCTCCCAGCACCAGCCCCACGCTTCAGAGGTGCGGGACAAAGCGGATGCGCTGCGAGTACGCCAGGTCCACGACATAGAGCAGCAGGTTCACGTAGGTGAAGATGGCGACGACCAGCTGGCTGTCCCATGGGCACCGGCCCTTGGCGCAGGAGCCGGGGCGTTGCGCGGAGCCGTACTTGCTGTCGAAGCAGAACACGGGCCAGATGACGGCTGCGCTCACGTACAGCAGCACGGCCCCCAGGGTGTAGATGACCACAGAGCGCTCGAAGGGGAACCACAGCAAGGTGGTCTTACCTGTAACACTGAAGGCCACGACCACCACTGTCACCACGAAGCAGAAGCTGTAGACGGCCACACACCACTGCGTCGCCACGTACTTGCCATACTGGCTGTCGTTCACCAGCGCCCCGAAGATGATGCAGGCCACGAAGGCCTGCACAATTTTCAGGAGCCCGGAGACCGTGGCCATGTAGCTGGTGACTTGCCCCGGTTTCGCCCGGGTTAAGAACACCTCGGCAGCGTACACAAGGAACAGGAGGGCTGCGAAGATGCTGGCGGCGATGCGGAAGTCTCTCACCTCACAGCTGATGGGGTAACAGTCAAGCTGGACGAAGTAGAGCGGGTAGATCACCGCAGCCGTGACGGACATGAGTGTGGCGAGCATGGCGAAAGCGGCAGTGAAGTTTCCCCAGGAGATGCTGAGGCAGCTGTGGAGGTGCGTGAATTCACAGGTGATGATGAAGACGGTGACGGCAAAACAGAAGGTCCAGACAAACATGCAGAAAGTGCCATACGCGGCACTGAAGCCGCCCTGGTGGGCTACCAGGCTGAATGTGGTGCATCCAAACATCATCTGCAGCAAGCGAGCTATTCCCACAGGGGATGTCACTGCAGCAGTGTTCAGATACGGCCCTCCTGTGCTCTCCATCTTGTTTACAGCCCAGCAGACGGTGCTCCCAAAGCCCTCCCTAAACCTCTTTTTAGGCTTCTGCTCTTTTGTCCTGAGTCACACCAGGTACTGGATCAGTGCAGCAGCAGCTCCAGTCCCCGCCTTGTCTCCACCGGCACTGTGGGTGCTGTGCTGACGCTGGGCAGCGTTTCTGCTGCGTTCCTGGCAGCCTCAGCACAGACTTGCTGGCTGAAGGGAGGTTTCTGGCTGACTCTGCCACCAGCTGGGATCTCAGGGTGCCGCGAGCAGCTCACCCCCGCTCTCAGGTCTGAAACCGGCCTTGTTCTGTCCTTTCACCGTCTCCTTCCCCTCAGATGGCCGAGAGAATCACTTTCTCCTTGGGGGCTGACATTGATTCCATTTTAGCTCTGCAGCTGTAGCTCTGCTGTGCTGCTTGCAGGGACCCGCGAGTATAAATAGGGGCTATATTAATAGTTCTGGAATGAGTCCTGCCCCCCTCAGCCACGGCGAGCGGGTGTTAGTTAACACCGAAGCTGTGAGCTCCATCAGGGGCTTGTAATTATCCTGCTGCGATTCCTCCGCAAGCCGGGGTCACCAGAACGCCGCTGTTCCGCAGCTGCTCCGCACCGTGGAGGCTCCCTGGGGAAGGGGGACGTGATCCTGCAGAAGCAGGAGCTCGGTGCTGCAGCCCCTGAGCGGGGACTCGAGCCCGGCAGCACCACAAGCCCTGTGAAAGGATTTCAGCCAGAAGCTACAATAAAAGCTGACTCACTTTGGTCCATTTGATCTGGAGCATTGATAGGTTTACCTGCTGTGAAAGGCACTGCTGTGCTCTGAGCATTAGCAAGGGCATGGTGCTGAGGAGGTTCTGAGCACCTATCCTCACGGGCTCCTCAAGCACTTCCCTGTCTGTTTTACTTACGTGGGAACCAGTTCTTCCTGTATCTCTGAGTGCCAGAACTAAAGACAGTTATAAACAACCAACAAAACAACCAAACAAAAAACCCAAGCCAAAACAATAGACTTGCTTTGATGTTGTGAGCTCAGGTTTGGAGCTCAGGTTTCAATGCACAGTGTCAAACCCTCCCTCCTCATGCATCAAAGCATTCCCAGGCAGCTGATTTTGGTACACATTTCCCCAGACTTGGTCTTTACCCAAAAGCCTCTTAATTCTAACTCTGAAAGCTCCAAAGAAAATTCCTGATGCAGTCTCCAAATGGGGAAAATGAAAACCACAGCACAGTACAAAATTCCTCACTTGCCTGGTGGCAGCGTCACTGACTCCACACCTGCAGCCTGGCTCCCCCTGTGCTGGTCCCAGGGGGGAAGCGGGGTCATCCCCAGAGCTCTGCACTGGTGGGGAGATCAGGATGGCCAGGCCAGGCCCAGAGCCTTAAACCCGTTCTGAATGATTCGAGATGCTCACCAGCTGAGCTGCTTCCAGCTCTAACTTCCTGGCTGGGAATTATAATTGACCCTTGTGCTTGGTAATAATGGCTTAATGTCTTCCATGCTTGTATGTTAACGTGACGATGTGACATCGCCACACGCAGTGCTAGATACTGTAAAGAGGAGCTGACAAAAGAGGCTCTGCTCTAATTCGTGCCCTTCGCTGCAGTTCTGGGGCAGCCTGGCTTTGCCTGCGGGAAGGACGCTCCCTCTTCTCCCAGGACCCTTCACCGAGCTGTGCCTGGGACTCAGAGAGCTGGAAGCTGCCAGCTCCCCGGGGAGGGTGCCTGCGCTCAGCACCACCCCACGGACCGTGACTGCAGCAGCGCCAGTCTCGGCTTGGGCAGAAGGGGCCTGGGAGGTGATGCCGCACGTCCGGTGTCCAGCTGCTTGTTCCCACCCTCCTCCCTGGCTCTTGCTCGGCCTTGCCGGCACAGGGCACTGGCCTCGGATTTACAAGCAGAACAGGAAACCTGAGCCTGGCAGAGGTTGCTTTGAACCGGGAGTCGCCACGGGTCTGACTCGTGCTGCAGGTGCACACGGTTGGTCCCGCACAGCAGTGGCATTGACAGAGCAGCCAGGACCGGGGGGTTGGACAGGAGCTATTTAAGCTGGAATCGCTGCTTTGCAGCATCACTTGTGATCCAGCTGCGGTTTAAGAGACAAATGGAGACAGACACAGGTTCCGGGATTGCTCGTGGTGAAAAGCAGTGACTGCGGCGCTCCAGCAGCTCGCACGCAGGCCAGGGATAACTTTACAGAAAGACTTGTGTGAGAACAGCACAGATTTTGTGAATGTGAAGGTAAAACGTGCCTCCCCTCAGCCTGCTCCCCACCCTGTAACCTCAGCGTCTCTTCCATGAAAACCCCTCCCATCTTCCTTAAAAGACCTCTGGTGCTAAACGTAGAAAACCTGCATTCATTTGGGGTGGAAGCTGCACAATTAACATCACAACAAGCAGGAAATGCAGCGAGGGAGCCCAGGAGCTCCAGGTGAATGGGCTTTCACCCTCAGGTCTTGTCCTTCCCGACTCTCTGTGATGTTAATCCTTCATTCTAGCAGCAGTTGTTACCATCTGTGCTGTGGAATGTCCCGTACCACAGAGGAGCTGCGCTTGCAAGGAAAAATCCTTCTCCAAAAAGTCTTTGCCTTTTAGAAATGAACTCTTGGGTACACAGGTGACTGGCTCTGCAGAAAGCATTCCCAGCTGCAGCACCAGTATTGCTACTTTACTGTTCCCTAGCAGGAATACATCACTGGACGCAGCGCAGGGCAGGCGCTGTATTTGGGGGTGCATCATCCTGCAAACAACTGGTGCTCACAGCAGCTTCTCTTGGTGCTCCCAACTGACAAACCTGTGCCAGCTGAAATCCTGGCCGGTGCTCAAGCACCGGCACTTGGCTCTGTGTGGCTCCAGCTCTCAGAGGAATCCCACTTCCCACATGTCCGTCCTGGCAGCTTCCCTGGGTTTCAGTTCAGCTGGGAGCACCATTTCTCTTTAGCTACTTTTACCTGATGTGTCGTAACCCCCCTTGCTCAGGAGGACGGGCGATCGCCCATGCGGTGCTGCCCAAGGGTTTGCTGGAGTCCATGAGAAGTACCTGAATGGCTGCAGTTTTGTTCCTTTTGGGGTTCACTCGCCTGAGCCAAGGGACCTCACAAACAGCACCGCCCCTTTGTCCAGGTTCAGGACACCCTTTCAGCCCTGCAACCTGGCAGGACCCATCTCGGCAGTGCGTGACGTGCCTTGTAAAACTGGGCCCCGGTTTCCTGCAGCCACACACGGGTGCAGCCAACACCACATTGGTGTCAAGAACTCCTGCAGAAGGGATGCAACCAGTGCTGCTTGCGCAGGTTTGTCTGTACCAGCTGCAGCGTGCTGCAGGACGGAGCTTTTCTGCTTTCTTGCTTCTGCCCGTGTGCTTTTCCCCTGAGGAATGGTCTCTCCTCTTTCCAGCCCCAACACACATTCCTGATCCCTCCCTTGTTCTCCTCCCATTACCATCAAAGGGGATTCTCTGTGTTCTGAGGTGGGTGTGTTCACAAATGACTAAAATAATAGAAATATGTTGGTGCTTGCCTTGTGTTCTCTGCCTTTTATGTTCCAAATGCTCCCCATTTTAAGACAGGCCAGACGGGCTCATCAGACATGGCTCTCAGTAGAACAGAGGCCTTTGCTGCAAAACCAAATGTCCCTGCATCTTCAAATGCAATGCTCTGGAATACCTGCCAAATCAGAGTCAAGCTGAAAGTGCTGTGCAAGTATGCAAACATCAGATGCTGGGTGAAAATCTCTGTACTTAGACCCCATATTACAACCTCTTCATAGGAGAAACAATGACAAAGCATACTGCAAGGGGAACACAGAAGTCTAATTAATACAGAAGACCAACACCACCCTCAGCCCTCTCCCACGTACAAGTGACCCATCCAAACGAGCAGCATATACAACTTTACAAAGACGTATGTACGGTTCTCTGGTCAGCCCTTATAAATAGCGTTTTACATATTAAAATAAATATGTCCACATTGCCCAAGTAGCAAGAGGTTTCTTCGTTATTTAAAAAAAATATGTTACAAAACAATATCATTTATATTTCTTGCTTAGTTTAAAAAAAGTAATAAAAAAGTCATTTTATAAAATAATATGAAAGTAAATTGAGTACAAGAGTGTCCATCCCTAGCACGTGTCCTGGGCTTGTACGTGATGATGCACCGTGAGATGCTGACCTCCAGGCAGTCAGGTTATCGTTCCTTCACTCCTAGTTGGACACAAGAAATCCAGTGCTTGCTTTGTTCACCACTTGTATCAAGTCTATGATGTAAAATTCATGGCAAGGGAAGAAGTCCTAGACCTGGGGAAGATTCTCATTGCTGCTATTTATGGCTTTGCTACTCCCTGTATCAGATTGCCTTGTGTAACACAGGAAAAGGATGTGAATGGGCGAAGCTGAGCCCTGGAGTTTGGAGGTAACACGTTCTGGTCAAATGGTGTAAGCAAGAAATTGCCTTTTTTTTTTTTTTTGCTGGACACATCCTAAGTGTGCAAGAGTGTGGGAGCACTGGTACTGGTGTGTACAAGTCTGAGCATGCATGGGTGTGAGCGTGCGGCTGCCTGCATGAGCATAGGGAAAATTAGGAAGTGTGGGAGAAGGGCTCAGAGTCTCCTCCTGATCTAATCTCCGCCCCTCTGCAGAGCCCTTCCTAGTTACCACTGCTGAGCATCCCCAGGAGTTTACTGGGCTCCAGGCCCTGCTGCTGTGCCATCTTCTGAACATCAAAACCCATGTGCATGAGGAACTGGATCACATTCATCTCCTGCCCTGTGAACTGGTCCCTGATGGTGGGACACGAGGGGTTGCAGTGAGGCCATGGACAGCTGTCGATCAGATGAATTGGGCAGCCTTTCAGAGGGGCCTTTCCATTCTTGTTGCTCTCGTGTAGGCTCCGATCCCAGCAGTGCAGGGCACGGGGGAGCGACGTCCCCTTCACCTGGATGTCCGTCCAGTGACTGAAACGACAACGGCAGAGCCCGCATCAGGCTGTGGGAACAAGCACATCCCCCCAGCTGCCCACTCATGGGATCTGCAAAAGCACTCACTTGCGTGTAATGATCTCATGAGACAAACAGGCAGGAGCAAAGCTAGCACTGAGGGAAGAAAGGAAACATGGATTAGGTCTTGGAAGGACAAACTCACTCCTACTAAAGAGAACCTTCCGGACTCAGGAGAAGGCAGATTTTTTGCTGCCCCTGGCAAGAGTTTTAGGAACAGCCATGACTGTGATATAAACCCTGTCTGGACTGGAAAGTATCCAGAAGAAAAGGGACTGCTTCCTGCCTAACAGTGTACATCTGCAACAGGACTCCTGAGTGCCTGCTCTCATGTGAAGCAAGTAAGGCACATTAACAGTTCCTCCTCTCTTGTCTCATCAACTCTTTGGATGTTTTATGATTTTCAAAACATCCCTGCGAGGTAAATGGCTGCGTGGTGGCAAGGAGTCTGACCTTGCCTTGGAGGCAGGAAAGAAAAAAACATGTTCCTATTGATAACAAAGGGCAGCTGACAGCTGTGAAGCTCGAAGTTACTTCGCACTGACCCAGAAATAAAAGGCAAGATCATTGCTGTA